CAAGCTTCCTAGGAGACACTTGGCATAGTAGCCATACACACACACACACACACACACACACACACACACACACACACAGACTAGTGGCCCGGTGCACAAATCATGCACATTGAAAGGAAATTGATTAGAATAAATGTTTTAATATTGCTATTCACCCTTCCTCTGTAATAGAAGTGTCAACCAAATTCACGATCAGCAATGACAGATGGAAACACATGTGTGCGATTGACATCAGAGAGCGCTTTATATGTATTGTGCATGTGCAAGTCAACTTAGCCTTTTATAGATATAGAATAAACTTGCTTAATTAGACCTGCTTTCTGATATAGCTAAACTTTTTCTAGCCCAGTGAAGCACCCCAACTTCTCTTTCAGGTAATTGTCAGCAACACAGCAGTAAATATCAATACGAAGCAGATTATTATTATAGATCATGCAGGAAGAAAAAAGGGTAAAATACTTAACTGCAGCAGTGTTTGACTATATTCTGTGCACGGAGAAAACCTTAAGTCATTTTCAAGGTCCACCATTTCTTACTTCTCAGTCAGGTGAAGTTTCTAGCTTTCTAAACCTCTACTTTCCAGCTAATGAAAAGAAAATAGGATTTCACTGAGTCTCCTTTCTACCTACTCCAGGACTTATGTGAAGATCAAATGAGATGAGGCACGTGAAAACTCTTCACAGACATTTGGTTAAATTGTAAAATGTTTCCACCTGGCTATAAAGCAAGTTGTGTTCCTGGGCTGAAGAAACTCCAAGGAGTCGCTAGGGAGAGTAAGATGGGCATTGCTACGTGATGTCATTACCCAGAGCCCACAGCACCCATTTCTGGGTTGGGCTGGGCTATGGGCTGCATTTTGTGCCATGGGGTCGTGGCAGCATTGGTTGATATTTGGTGGGGTGTCACTCTGGGGTGATGGTGGAGCCTGTGTCCCAGTTGGGGGAAGCCAAGTGTTGGTTAGTCGGTGTCAGGTCTGTAGTGCCAGCCAGTGCATGCATGGCAGCTCCTGCATTGAGCATCTGCCCCCTGGTGGTTCATGCACATCACAGCAACTGGTCAGATGATAGGAGGGACATTTAGCATATTAGCCTTTTATATATATAGATATTGGAATTTGGACCTATCTACCACCAATGCAGTTCATTCACTAATCAAATGAATGTTCATTGGACATTTTATCAACTGTCAGGCAATGTGCTAGCCACTAAAATTTTATTGTTGGACTCTAAGTCCTCATCCACAAGGGGGAGAAAACCATTAAGTAGCCACACAGTTAAATGTGGAATTACAACTCTTAAGGAGAGCTGCCTGGTGCACAAGGCACTCCTCAAATGTCTTTCCCTGCACCTGCTCCTCTTCCAGGATTCTCCCTCTTGTGGTGACATCTCCATTTACCCGTCTCCCAAAGGGAAGTCCTGGAAGTCAACATGAATTTTCTGACAACCAGCACCCATGCCCCTCCTCACAGTGGGCAGCTCTTGCTCTCTGCATTTCCTGGCATTTGGAAAGTGGTAATGGAAGAAGTGCTCACAGCCCATAGTGGTACTGCCCACCATGTAACATGAGGAGTTATAACGGGGCAAACCAAAACATCTTCTCTACAGGCCCGAGATCCCCACTAGTGGAGACGTTCCACTCAGGGCTGCATTACAAAGGCCTGTGCACAAGCATCCCTTGTGGGGTCATGCCACTCCATGAGGGGCCCTGTGTGAGTACTTGGGGACTTATTCTCCTGGAGGTAGAAGACCAATTTTGAAAACTTCCCAATTTTGCCCAAGGCAGATCTGCTGGTTGGGGACAAAGAGAAGCTGTGAAAGAAGTTATTATTATTATTATTATTTACATTGGAGAGTTGGCAGGAATACGAAGCAGATTATTATTATAATTTATCGTGCATGATTTATGTATATTTATTTAAATATTTGATTGGCTTTTAAAAATCATTCTTCCTGCAGGAAGTCTTAGAATGTGACTCTACTTATGACCACAATCTCTAATCGTGCTCAAACTAATGACCAAGGAATATTAATCATCCCCTCACTAGACTGTGCTAATCAGTTAGTCAGGGATCATCCACTCCATGCTTGTCCAGGTTAATTATGTTTCTGAATAATAATCCTTGAAATTCACAAGGGTTGTGGCAGTACTGCCACTGGGCAGAAGAGGGCGACGTAACCACATTCAGCCGGTGCATTCAAGCCAGGGTGTCCTCTGGGCCTCTGGACCTCATGAGTTTTAAGCCTTGTCAAGTACACATGGCAGTGCTATGATTCCCATTCTGTAGGTGGGGAAACTGAGTCTCAATATGTTCCACAAGGTCAGACAGCTGGAAATGCCAAAGATATCTAAAGTTCCACATGGGAGGGGATGTTTGGAAGGGTCATGGGGCTGAGGGCTCAAAGCTGCCTTTGCAGAGCACTTGATGCAAAAGGAAAGAATGGTAACTGCCCGGTGCTGCTCCAGTTAAGGGGCAATGCAGAAATGCGAACTCAGCTTTCTGACTCTTAATCACAGCCCCTTGTTCTGCCAAGTGTGTGTAGATTACCCAGTTCTCCCCGCACTAATAGGTACAGAACCACTCACCCCACCGACTCTGATTTCCGTCCTCCTTGACCTTTGTTCTTAGTCCTAGAATCAGGAAATAGGCCAACACACCAACTCTTCATGTTGCCAGAAAGGCATTGAAGCAAAACCTGAAATTAGACCCCCTGGCCTTCCTGGAAGGCAGTGTGTTTGAAGAGAAATAAAAACAAGGAAAGGCCCTAAGTATTATACTGGATTTCCATATGCTGGGTCGAATATACGTAAATCTCAATGATGATAATAATAGCAATATTGGCTAACATGTGCTTATTCTCAGCCAAGGGACTGTGCCGAGAACTTTCACCATATTATCTCATTTAGTCCTTTCAGGAAACCTGTGAGGCAAGAAATATTATTTTATAAATGAGAAGACTGAGGCAGAAAGGTCAAGTACCTTGCCCATGTTCACTCACCAAATAGTTATAACCCAGCATTACTTGTATACAGACCTCCTCATACACATCCTAAGGCTCCCTTATGCTATTGATATATCCAAGGGCCCTGGCATCTTGGGTAAGGTGACTCAGCACTATTCAGAAGTCCCAGTATTACCCGCTCAGAGTGCAGTCTCTGTGTGGATGATGTAATGACAACAATGAAGACCTATGCCATTTGCACAGAAATTCCAGTGCGTGGAAATTGTCATTGTCACCTCTTGTTACCCCAGAATTCAAGGTGTCCCAAAACAGCCAGCTTAACCCAGAGGACTGCTTCACCAAGGTTATCTTTCCCCCGAGAGTCCGAGCACCAGAGAGCATTTCCATTGGTTCAGAAAACTGGTAAAGCTTATTAGGAATTCTTAAAACTTCAAAGAAATTAAAGCTCATTTCCCATACGTTGAGTGGGGCAGATCACACAAATTGTGTGCCTTGCCTTACACAACAGACTCCAGTCTAAGTCGATTTATTGTCAGTAAATGTTGCTTCTGTATGGTTGGCATACTAAATAGAATTGTTTTCGCCTCACTTTGGTGCCTATGTTTCACCAAGGATCAGGCATTCAGAAGGCCCATTTGAAGACAAGCCATCAAAAACAAGACCCGATACATCTAACTCTGCAGCTGCAAGCCCCACCCTCAGCCTTCCTGCTCCTCACCTCAAGGTGGCTGGGAGGGAAGGGACAATGCCAATCGGTTCATAAACGCCCATCGGCTCCCCTCCCCACTGCCTGTGCATCTGAGGGTAGAGAGCGAGTACAGTGCAGTGGTCATTTGTACTTAGATCCTGCTGCATGGGGCATATTCCATGAATAATGAAGACTATCTGATATATAAACCATCACATTGACACGTTTCACTTTTTTTTTTCCTTTTAAAGATTTTTAATTGGTTTTTAGAGAGAGAGGGAGGGAGAGAAAGAATATGAGAAACAACAGTCAGCTGCCTCCTGCAAGCCCTGCTGCTGGGGATTGAGCAACTCCAGCACGTGCCTTGACCAGAAATCTAACCAGCAACCTTTCAGCGCACAGGACATGTGAAAGCCATCCTGTGGAACACTACTCTCTACCTGTGCTATATTCTGTCTCCTAATTTCATTCATGCTCTCCTTCTCCTGACTCATGACAAGTTGGGCCCATGTGACCCTCTTTGCAGGTAACAGATCTGCCTTCTGCCTTCTCTGCAGCATCTAATGCCTCTGTGGTAACTCAGGGAATTCCCGGTTACATCACAGAGGACCCAAACACCTAATATCAACACACAACAATACCTCAAGTACTAACGCAGAAAGAAGACATTTTTATTCCTAGGCAGTCCAGAAGATTCTTTTCTCCGAAGTTATAACTCCATTTATCAATACCGTCTGCTGGGCCGGCAGGAAAGCCCAGAAAAGATGCTCCACTTTTGGCTCGAATCTCTCTGGCTCTCTAGTTTCTATAAGGTCTGGAGAATGACTTTACCCCTCCCGTTACCACAGCCACGTCTGCACGATATGCAGAGCGGAAGCAGCATAATTTATGATGTGCAAGCTACGATTCAAACCAGGATTTCACACACCGGTCCCAGTGGAAAGGTAACCCGGAGAGTCAGTAAACTTGAACCTGAGCCCATGTCTTTGTGCGAGGTTTACCCACCCTGCCCCACACAGCTCTTCCCCACATGGAGCAAACAGGACCCTGACCAGCCTGGAAGAACAGACCTCTCACCACTTACAGAAATCTGAACATCTGAACACTGGCTGCCACATCTGATCCCGAGGCAGCTGTGTAGGTCAACAGAGAGCTTCCTGTAGACAGGCTGTGGCCCTCACAACTCGAGTTTCCATACCCAAACCCTCCCCACATTTCCGTGGCCCTGCCTTTGAGAGTGTCATGCCTGGAGAAGAAGGTACCAATGTTTAGATGCCCTCCCTTCCCCCACCCTTGACTAAGGAAGACACCAGAAAGGGGAGGGCCTCCAAGAAGGATGCACGGGTGCTTACTGTGCTGGTCACTCCTGTCCCTTGTCCCGTCCACGGTGCCGTCCGGGAGGATCCGCAGGAAGTGGCCCCCGTTGCTGCAGTAGAGGAGCTTGGGCTTCTTGTAGTTCTCCAGAGGCAGATTGAACCTCTCGGTCAGGGCCGTGAACGTGGTGACTTCCCCCTCAGCCATGGCTCAGCGGCGGCCGGTGAGGGTGCTCTCAGGACTGTAAGAAATTGAACAAACCTGTAGAACGTTCTTCCAGCAAAGGTGCAAGTACAAGCAGGGTAAGAGAGCCTGGAGTGCAGGGTTCTGGTTGGTTGGGAACCACAGGAATGGGCCTGTGCGGTGGCCGGCGGTGAAGGAAGGACAGTCCTGGCAGGGGAGGGATTGTCTGGCCATTCCTCATTTCCAATTGGACACGGCTTTGGGTCCAGCTGTGTGCTTTTTAGAACTTTAAATTTAATCATTTGGCCAAGGGAAAAGAAAATAATGTGTTGGTCTCACCTTCTGATCCACACACATCCTCAAATTAAATACCGACGTTGCACTAAAATAACACCCGGGGTCTGGCTGGAACCCACAAAGGCCGAGAGGCCGGTGCTGAGGTTTTGCCCTCTCTCCTCCCACGGCTTTGACTGGGCAGCACCAGGCCCAGGTGCAGAGATAGCGGAGAGCCCAGGCTCGGGACCTGGAGGATGTGCGTGGCGGCCTCCCACAGTGGTGACAGCCGAGGGTTAATGTGTCAAGGAAAACTCTGCGTTTGCTGGTGGGAACAGAACAGGAACTGGGGAGCAGCATGTGGGGGTGTTACCTGGGGTTTTTAAAGGGCAAACACTGTGCCAAGGGAAGTTTTTTGAGACAGATCGTTATGAAGGCTCTGCCAGTTGTTGCCGGCTCCCACAGCTCTCCACACACCCTCGTGACACACAGAGAAGGTGTCCTTGTGCAAAGGCCATCTTCATCCTAATTACTGACTAATGAGACATACTTATTATGACACAGAAACCACCATAGTGCATATTATAGTCCTCTAATGTCCTCCATGCCCACTATATACAAATTTATACTATATTAGTATTAAAAATGTGTCAGTTATGCCTCTAAGGATTAGAAAGCAAAGCCAATAGACACTAGAATTTTAAAGCATCTTCTCGTCCCCACCATTTAGGAGAATGACGTGAGGGTGACTCAAGGACTGTACAGGCAGAGGCGAAGAGACCAGGACCCTGATATGGAACCTTCGTAAGTGTGAGTAGATGTTGTTCGTACACATTGACCTTATAATAACAATGATCATCATTATCATTGTATTCTGGGCTACAAAGCTGATTCATACAGTCCTCACCACTACTCTTTGAAACAGACACTAATATTACCCCATTTTGTAAATAAAATATAGCCAAAACGTAGAGATGCTCAGTGGTCTGTCCAAAGTCAACGGCTGGTAAGTTGTGTCTCTGAGCCTCCAGACGGGGTTCTTGAAACAAAGCCCTAACGTGCCCTTACTCACCAGGAAAAGGTTCAGTGACCTCACTGATACTGCAGTGTTATAGTTATCCCGCCCCCTCCACGGGTTCCCTCTCTGTGGCTTCAGTTACCCACAATCAACTGTGGTCTAAAGATATTAAATGAAAATTTTCAGGAATAAACAATTCCTAAGTTTTAAATTGTGCAGAGCTCAGAGTGGCCTGATGAAATCTCACATGTCCTGATCCATGCCTCCCAGGACATGAATCTCCCTTTGCCCAGCATATTCATGCTGGATACACATGCACCTGTTGTCTCTTAGAGGCCGTCTTGGTTGTCAGATCGATTGTTGTGGTATCATAGTGCTTGTGTTCAAGTCACCCTTACATTATGGCCATTCACCTAACTTCCACTACAGGATATTGGTATAATTGTTCTGTATTATTATTCATTATTGTTGTTAGTCTCTTACTGTGTCCAATTTAAACTTTATCATAGGTATGTATATGTAGGAAAGTGTGGTATATAAGGTGTGGTGCTATCTGTGGTTTCAGGCAAAAATTACTTATTTGTGACCCAGACATTGGTTATCACCATCATCAACAGCCTCGGCTTTTGCCCCCATGCCAACCGTGCAGTGGAACTCCCAGAGTCTCTCATTCCCCAGTAGAACACACATCACTAGGTGTTAAGGTGTCACAGAAAGCCAGCCAGCCCCCTGCATTTTTCATACTCACCATCCATTCATCCATCCATTCATCCATCCACTCATCCCTGGAACAGTCTCATGGAGCTACTCCACAGAAATTAATTCCTCTGCAAATGGAGGCAACAATTTGGATAATTTGTCCTGGTGACTTTGGAATTAGGAATCATTTTGGAAGTGTCCATTTGTTTTCTCTGCCCTAGGCATTTTAGTGCTTCTGGTACATCTCTTGTTATCTGCAGCCACATGGGCCAGTCACACTCCCCCCACTTTCAGTTAGTAGTTTGATGTCCCTCCACAAACCCCCCAAAGAGGATTTTGTATATACCATATAAACATCTATTTATCCCAAATATGCTCTTCACACATGGTAAAGCTCTGTCCAGCCCTTTCACATGGTTCAGTAACAGTTAGAAACATAATTCTGTTTACATTGATTTCACCTTGCACAGCACATGGTGTTTCTTTCTCAAACCCCCATTCTTTCTTCCAGACCCTTTGCTTTCATCCACAAACCTCTGTGTCTCTATGTCCACCTCTATTTTCCCTCTCTCTCTCTCTCTCTCTCTCTCTCTCTCTCTCTCTCTCTCTCTCTCTCTCTGTCTCTCTCTCTGCTCTTTTCCCACCCAGCTTCTTCATCTCCCTCTCACTCCACTTGCTTCTGGATCCCTTCTGTTATAACACACTTTGGTTCTTCCAACATGGCCCTCTTCACCCATTACCTCCCTGTTAGCATAGAATCATTACAAGATGCCCCTTCCTTCAAATACAACTAAGAGATCATTAATATTCTTTGTTTTATCCATTTTTTCCCCCAAGCACTTACTAAGTTATGTCCCCAATTTATTGCAGGAGATAATAATTATACACTAGTATTGCCATTTAACTGTACAAATAACCACTTGTAATGACGGTCTTCAGTGGGCAGACTTTTGTTTCTTGTTGCACCTGAGTTTTCTCAAATGGAAGTCCCATGTGCCCCTGATTGTGCATGTTAAGGAGGCCGCCCTTCTAGATCCAGCACCCATGGAGAGTCTCCATTAGGTCATTTTCTAAGTGATGGGTTTGGATTTGGCTCTATTTGCATTCTTGCTTCCATCCCATTGGGATGAAGGCGAACAGATACACAGAAGGCAGACTGAAGCTGGAGGCACCACCTCTGGCCAAGGACTGTACTAATGCTCCCCCGCCCGGACTTCGTCACTGCGGGGCTCTCTCCAGCTAAACAACCTCTGCAGGGACCAGCAGGCAACAGGCACCCCTCCTTCCTGATTACAGGGCAGCCTGCGGTTATGCAAGGCTGAGACTCTGCCTGCTCCTCCAGGAGCAGGGTCGGTAATGGGGTGGTTGTACTGACTTCAGATTGCTCCCATCACCCCTCTCAGTGCAGATCCATACCTGGAAACCTGAGGGGGACCTACTGACTCCTGAAAATAAACCTTGAGTCAACCTGAAATTGATAAGACTGTGGAAGCAGTATTGATGAATCAGCTGACACTTAAAAAAAAAGAAATCCCTTTGTTGCTGAAGGAAACCCCAGAGACACGAAAAGCCCTCATTTTTATTTTTTATTTTTGCCTTATTACAGTTTACTAATATTTTAAGCAGTGGTTGGTCCACGGTTCCTTGCCAATCCAGTATTTGTTAGAGGATAGGAATAAAGGAAGTCTATGAGGTGATAAAACCATTAGGCAGCAGCCTTAGCAAGCCCTTGGGGATTTACACAAATTGCTCTAATAAATGAATCCATTGACTACATGAAATCAGGCATTAAGCATAAGAGAAATTTATAAGCTCTGCTTCTTGTCATTACTATCTTTTTGTTGGCTGTCAGGGGAAGGAGTTCTCTCTCTCTCTTCCTCTCTGTCCTCTGTGTGTGTGTGTGTGATGTCAAAGATCAAGTGGACTTCATTGCCATTGTTGTGTGCTAAGCCTAGCCCTTTGAAATTTGGGGCACTGGTGAGATTTTGGGAAACCCAGAGATTTTTCTGACTTATTAGTGACACCAAAGTGAAGAGAACACCAAGCCTTTTGGAACATCCATGTTAAAGGCTGACATATTTTGCCAGCTGTAGCTTCTGGGGGAGAGTGTAAACTCTGACACACGAACAGAATGCTAAGTGTACACCCTCCCCCAGGAATACACAGTCACTTTTCAATGTGGTACAGTGAGCAACCCCATACAGCCCCTTCAATGCACTAATCGGCTCTGGGAACCTGGGCGAGTCATTCATTCCTTCCAGGATGTGTCCTGTAACAGTCCTCACCCTGCCTGTGCTCAATAGCCATGACAGGACTTGGAAAGAATAGAACTATGACCTGACCGGTAGGAGATATGATTATGTTGAACCAGTCAAGGCTTGATGTGGTTGATTTAGGTCAGTTCTGATTGAATAGTTAATTTAAAGTAATTTTTGAATTGGTATGAAACTAATTTTTTCAGTCCCTCTCATATTTGGCAGAAATTAGCTAAGCCCTTCCCCACTAATCATTTAAGCCACCGAGATAGCAGAGAAATGAAGGAGGCAAAGGGAAAGCAGTGTTATGTGTGGCAGAATCCAGGTCACCAATTCAGGCTCAGTCCTCAGTTTATCCACGGTTATTGAAGTGACATTTGTGAAGCTTGCTATTTGAACAAGACATTTGTGCTCATTTTGACCATGGCCACTAAGCTGGAAGAGAATATTCCTAATTCTAAGAATCAAGGGAAAACAAACGCTGATTTTTTATTTTTGCTTTTATCCCCTGTCACTGCTTACACAGTGCAGAATACCCATGAAGGGAGATATTTTGCAAAGTGTATAAAGCCACTGAAGGTGGATGCACAGGCATCTGTTAAGGAGGTAATTGAATGTGTCTGCAAACCCAGCATATGTAAAACAGGCCTCACCTTTGGTTCCAAGTACACTTTAAGTCTTCCCTCCCTATCTCTGTGAATGGCATCACCTCATAATTTAACTATTCCGTACAGATATTAATTGACCTAGATCTTATTAACTCAGAATGTGAGCTAATATTAAATATTAAAGGTAATATAAAATGTTAAAGGT